GAGAGAGAGAGAGAGAGAGAGAGAGAGAGAGAGAGAGAGAGAGAGAGAGAGAGAGAGAGAGAGAGAGAGAGAGAGAGAGAAATGAAGCGAGGGCAAATGTAAGTGGGTCACACCCAACTGATGATATGTTTGTGCTAGGGAAGCATGGCCCTCGACATAATCATGCTCATGTTAATGCTGCGTTAGAATGAACACGACACCAGTGCCGCCTGGGCCTGGAATTGAGAACAGCAAAGTCTTCTAGGCTTCACGTGGCATGTGAAACGGCTTGTGACACACACCGCTGTGGAGTGCCGAGCTGTGCGATCATACAAAAGTGCTATCTGTCACTCCCTGATTGCCGTCAATCAGGCGGCGGCCTTTCGCGATGGGGGTGGCATATTGCGGTCTGGTTCACTCGTACTTGCATAGATTCCCGGTTCTAGACCGTGAAGGACTGATGGCCACAAACATATTATCCGGGTACACGGGACCTCGCTCCGCATAGAACTGGGAAAGAGACCAAAAACAGAATGAAAAAAGGGGAAAAAAAGAAGAGGTCATCATCCAGAGATCGAGCTGGGTCAGAAGTGAACTTCAAGTTCGACCAACCCCATGTAGCTGAATGGAAACCCCCATCAACTCAACTGCTGATAAAGAGACCTGAGTTCGAATCCTGCTGCCATCGGGGCAAGCACGTTGTTGTTGATGTCTCTTTTGAGTATTGAATGAGCCGAAAAAACATGCGCTAATGTCTACCATTCAGGCCCTAGAGATATTAGGCAAGGAAAAACTGGGCGTGGCAGTGCTGTTACTTGACTTGAGACGGCCTACGGTAAAGCAGGCTGGGCCTTCGTATTCACGTCCCTTTCGAAGATGGGGGTTGGAGCGGGATTCTGCAAGTGGGTCAGGGCCATGTATGAGGATGCCTCCTCAATGGTGCTGGTAAATGGTAGACTCTCGGACGCCTTCCCACTAACCAGATCCATCCGCCAAGGCTGCCCCTTGGTCCCCCTCCTCTTTGCAGTTCAACTAGAAGTTTTATTGCATAACATCAGATCAAATGAAAATATAGCAGGCTTGCGCCTACCCCAAACGTTGAATGGAAGGGGGGTGTGATTGAAGACGACCTTACAGTTGCAAGCAAACACGACTGTGTCCTTTTCATATCCTAGGGGGGTTCTAGAGAAGTACTGTGTCCTCTCAGACGCTTCGATTAAACCAACAGTACCTCGCCCAGCTATCAAGTCCGAGGCTTGGGCGACCAGTACCCCGATCATTGCCGAGCCTCGTACTTTATTGCCGAGCCTCAATGTACCGGTATTACATCATAGGAAAAAAAATAAAGAAAAAAAGGTTTAAAAAGCACAAAAAAACAAACATCATTCTGCAAAAAAAAAAAAAAAAGGTATCAAATCTTTCGAGACGACGCGAAAGATTCATTCTCACTGGAA